GTAGGTTTATCTGATATTGACATATGATTCGTTTTGCAGTATTATATTGAAGTATTTAAAAAATTTTTGTTTTATTGCGAAAAAGAAGTAAGAGGTGTATATTATGTATGGTATGCGAAGAGAACGATCTGCACATGATTTCTTGAGCTCCGGATTGCATACTCTGCCTCTTTTACAATACATTAATAAAACTAACTAACTAACTATATATAATTATAAGAATACCTGTACTCGTAATGATACTTCGGTTTTAATTTCCTTAATCTCCGAAAGGAATTTTTTTTCTGTATTTTAACATGAATTCACATACAATTCTGAAATTGGTTTCGGATTGCTGAATGCAACAGCACGTTGAAATCGGGTAAAACAATATATAGGAATATCGTGAGATTATCGGAGACGGTCCCCCCACCAAGCAGCTCATTACTGTGGGAATGGGAAATAAGTGAACATCAGGCTGATAGTTACTTCCCGTCGGGGAACGAATTGCTCAACGAAATGTACGAGGAATTGACGGAGTATACTTTTACTACCTGCGTAGTAAATGGTTCCGCAGAATTAAATGTAGTACATACAAATTTAATTAAATGCATACCAACACATTCAAACATCCCTCCAATATTTTTCGTGAATAATTTAAACAGTCACTTGCACGATCCGCCAGAATTATGCAGAAAATTAAGGTGTTTGATGTTTCACGATCGATTGATACTAAAGACACAGGCCCTTAGAGTTCGATTGAGTTAAGGCAAGTTCACGATATGTCTGTCTTGAGCGTCCCTTTTTAGAAAGCTCACGAAAGTATTTCATAAATATTTTTGTTAAACTAAAACATAAAACAAAACAAAGTTTAAGTATACAATATTTCATTAAAACATGTGTTCGTAATTTCCTTCCATTACATTTATGTTGTTCCCTGGTTCAATATATGCTACATTGCGGAAATGCAATAAGTATCTCATTTCAGAGAAAGTTCTTAAGCATACCGAAATAGATTCGTTCAACTGTTATGTGACTGAAGCAATATAGAAGGTGACTCGCCCAAACATGCACTTTCGGCTCCATCTGACTTTCTCGTTGTCCTTGTGAATTACATCGGTGCAGGCAACAATACGAATAAAACAAAACGTCAGCACCGAACGTTGCAGGCAACCTAGAAAGCGGCTTTTCAGAATTAATTAGTAAACTGGACCGAGGAAGGTCGCCTCGTTCAGACGTAATATGGTTACGAGATTTGCGTACAGGTAGAAATGCAAGGGAGTCTGATTCGAATATTTTATTGATTGATTCGTTTGACTCGTGTGTTTTATGGAAGGAAGTATTCCTTTCGTGTACCTCTGCAACGATACATTACACCTCTCTCATCTTCCTTTGGCTCCAATGTTTGCCTTGCCAGGGACATATGCCAGGAACATATGCAATTCACTAGCTTTCTCGCGCATCAATAATCTTTCCATGCCGATGAGTTCTATGACAATTTTCTCACCAACTACTGCATATCTTTCCTTCAATATTGTTTCTTTCACGCAAGTTTTTCACATTTGAGCTATCTTCTCTCGTTTCTTATAAAATACGTAACTTTTCGTTCATGATCGACATAACTTTAGCCGATTGTATTCTTTGTGAAAAACGTTATTTTTTATTATAATGAAATGATTTTTTTTGAAAGCTTAGAAGTACTGTATTATAAATATAAGTGCAAAGTATTACACCTAGCAGTAACTTAATGGGAAAAAACTGATTAATTCATCTCTTTACGTTAACGAATTAGAGTTGGATAACTAGCTTCTTTGGTTTTAAATAAATCAGTTAAAAAGCACTACGAACACGTGATCTGTGTCTGTATAAAGCGAGCTAAATTTGATTTGATTTAGTTCATATTGTACTAATGATTTGCAATTAGTAGCCATAAAAGTATACCATAGATTCTGTTGCCAAACTGTTTCAGTCAGGTAAAAATTTTATATATCATCCCGTGAGTAATGTTAAAAAATCACTAACCATTTTTCTTCCCAAGACGTTTAAATATTTTATTTTTTGGTTGAAATAAAATAGCGTAGGTCATATTATTAAAAAAAATTAGGAGTCAGGCTACAACCCGCCGAGCATCCACGTGATGCAAGACGACTTATTTACTGGAAGGAAATGAATAGCGAAACAATCGCATACTAATGCATGTTTCCCTGAAGGAAGAAGAATGAATAAAATGTTAACTCTGCAAACTGAACCTGCAATGCCACTCTTACGACACTGACAATCTGGGTTAACTTATTTGTCATAAAACTATTAATTCTAACAACCCAGGAGAGACTTGTTGCCGTCTGCGTTTTTTAAAAATTTTCCTTATGGCATTTACGGCGTGCCTGTAAAAAATACTGTGTACTTTCTTGTCTACATTCAATATATTTCTAAAGAACGACATTATTTAGAAAGATCTTCGCAGTCTACCCAATTTCAAAATTGATTTTAAATTGGTGTAGAGCCTACCGAGGGTGTGCTCTTACTTCCCAAGCATTTCAGTTCCACACACACACAGCCGCGTTATACAACAATTTGTTTTGTTAATATAGATTTATTCTCTGAAATCATAAGCGTGCCGTAAAGCCATCTCGAACCTTGTGAGGAAGGTGTTGATTTTTAAATTTTTTAATTGAAGTTACTTTTTTAGAAAAGATGTAGAAACTTCATTGAACGAATCAAACTCAGTAGTATTGGATAAAAGCTTTGGAATGTTTGTGGCGTCATCATTCTATAACCTAATGTTCTTAGAAAATGCATTAACGTATAAATTACGTATATTGTGATTTGATTTACTAAGTTTTTCCTCTTTAGAGAATCTTGTAACCTTTGACTTCCGTCGCTTTTCTACGAGGAAAACGTGTATATGTGAATGATAGTTTTTTTTGTAATTATTTACAGTCAGCAGTAAATACTGTTTTTTATGAAAAGATTAAAACCATTGAACGTCGCACTTGCATAATCGTATGAAATTGAAATTGAACTCGCCTATTTTGGAGTGTTGCTATAAAGTGACAACGTGACAGGAGTGAATATCAGACTTCATATCCATAATTACTCGCTATAATTAAGTTATTACAGTTTTCCTGTAAAGCTGCTCAGGAGACATGCCAACTATCATGTAAAGAGAGACGAGTTTCCTCGAAGTTTGACCAAAACATGAGGGACCTCAAACTCAAAATAAGATAATCGTGAGTTGTAAAAAGGCCATTGGCACGTACAAAATAGAATGCTCACAGTTCACATTAAACATTGAAACTAAACGATGTTAAGCTTTTCGTACGGGGACCGTTAAATGTCAACGAGATTGATATCTATGCTCCTGACAATGTGATATACTTTTTTGTTATCTACAAGAAAAAAATGAAACTAATACGACAACTGTAGTTAAAGATAATCGCTGAAATAGTGGAGTTTGTCAATCAAATGTTGACAAGATCACTCTCTAGGCGGAGCCGTTTGCAATACATGGCAAAAGTAATGGCGAATGACTAGTGGCCGGATTTTAAAGACCTAAAACATAGCCAAAAATGATCAATAAAATAATTTTAAAATGTTTTTAAAATGCCCTAAAAGAAAAGAAAAATGTCGTAAAAATACTGATTAAAACCACTGCTGATTAAAACCACTGCTGATTATAACTAAAGCTGTTGGATATTATGTTACTGATGTAATTGAGGCTTCTTCCTTTCGTTCAAGTGAACTGAATTTGCAAACTTTTGGTTTGGACTGTTCTTTACTAGGAAAGGTCTTTCTTTACATAGTTATCAGGAAATCGTTCGAACCGGCAGTGGCGCTGATATGCGTTGCAGGAACGCAACTTCACATACTTACAATGGCTGCCATTACAATTCCTGAGCGAAGAAATCGTATAGACTTTGAAAGCAAGTGTCGTTAATATGATGTTAAAATCGATTAAATTAGCAACAAATGCTTTAAAAATGACGGGAAAAGGTAAAAAAGAGTTATTAGTAAAAAACGACTAAAATTGCACAAAAAGTAATTTAAAATAGGTAATTTTCTTTCGTCATAACATAAAATTAATGTCTATTCTAAAAGCCATTGTTCTAAAGTGAAAAGGAAAAAAATTACATTTCATTAAAATCCGCCTCCTACTAATGACTGTTGAGAAAATCTTTTCTTTTCTTTCATTCTTCAAATATCTTTTTCTAATGTAGTGTTGAACCTCGTTGAAATTGGGGACTTCTTATAATTTTCGTTGACAAAACTTGCCCGACTCCCGTGACGTCATAGCATAAAGGCTGAGGACACATGGGTCCAGGGTTTTGTCAATCTCTTTTAGACATAAGACGGGTATGAGTTTCATACATATTGTAGAACGGAAGCCATTTTATTTACATTCTCACCACATTGCTCCCCTGCTCCTCCTCGCCACCCCTCCAATCCGCCACGTTCTACCCTCCCCTTCACGCTACACCCACCCTTCCACGTCCCACCCTCCCTTCGACACTCCACCCTCTCTTCTATACTCTCACACTTCCACGCCTCAAACCTCCCACCATGACCCCGCGCAACCTCCACATCATCCAGCCATAAACTCCGACCGCCAGCACACCCTGTCCGCACAGCTGCTCCACAATTCGTAGATGCATTAAACCAAATTTTGTAAAAACTCAGTGCTGCAATTTTGAGAAAATATCAAGAATTAATACTATGTAAAACTATCTGTGGAATTTAAAAGGTTCTGTGGAACGTACGAGCACGCATTTCTTGTAGAATAAAATTTTTGAATCACTACCATCTGCAAGCATTTTTTTCAAATGGAATAATGAAACATAAAGCATATAATGTACATCAATATCTCCCAATGAACTTACATGTGTTCCATAATCCACTCTTTTTTGAAGAACGCCCAAATACGTCGATGAAGGAAGTAAATATTATAAATTGGACATGCCGCGATATGGACCACAAAAGTTATCAGTGACCGCGTCGCGAGAATCTTAACGAGCGCAGTGGCAATGATTTTGGGCAATCGGGCGGCAGGCACGGGGTTCTCTTCCGCCTTGTGCGCGCCCAAGGCCCTCTCGTCCGCCAGGGCCCTCGGAAGGCGCGGGGCCGCACCGGAGAGAGCTCGATCGGGCGAGAAGCACCAGCGGCGCGGCGCGGCGGCCGGGGTGAAAGGCGAGGGCTCTGCGGGTGGACCCGCGCCGCGCCGCGCGGATGCCAGTGGCAGCGCCAGAGTCCGTGCCACTCGCCACCTGCAGCGATTGGAGAGAGCCCTGCGCCAAGCAGGGCGTTTCCAAACCTGTATTTCGAAGGGTACGTTCATTCTTGGGTAATGAGAGGTCTGAATCAAACACCCTTCATTTTCCTTACGATGCTGAAATCTCAAGAAGCGGACCTCATTACTTGTTGCCTTACTAACCTTGCTTGATGCCATAAGTTCCCCTACTTGAGTAATGAGTTATTTACTATGCTGCTTTTGTAAGAACAAAATATTTACATTATTTATTCAAATGCTGTACATTTTTCAATATATGGTAATTGAGTAGTGTTATAGTTAATGTTGAAGTTTAATACTGACGCACCAAATTTAAATTACGTTGTAGGCAATCCGTCGGTTAAATTAGATTTGTTCCGTTGTACTGGAGAGTCAATCGGTATTTGAGAGTATTACAATGTTGGCTCGAGGGATTTCATACGATTGTAAAGCAGATACTGCAGAATGGCAATAAACCTATGAAAGAATCGATGTTATCAAATTATTTGATTGATCCCTTTCTCTCGTTGAGTAGTGCTAGAAACGTCATGCCACGTACATAATTTTCAGTCGTTGAATTTTCTGTGCGAAGAACTATTTTCTCATTAATGATTAACGAGGTGCCAAAAGGTATCGACAATTTCGAGTAACCCAGACCCCGCAGTCTAGCATCTCTCTCTCTCTGTTGATATTCCATTTCAATGGCGCAGGCATTGGAATGGTCGATTTGTATACAGTTATATCACACCCGAAGAGCAAATGCTACATTCATAATAGGAAAAGTATGGACGTAACTGTGATAATATTCACAAGCATTCAACTTTCGTTTGTACGTTACTCTCCTTGACATCTGCATTCGCCTAAAGATAGATTCAAAATTTAATAACCATAATAATGAATGTTTTTTCCTAATGATGGAACCACAATGTGCACCGGGACGTCGTAAATGAAATGAAGTATTGTGATTGTTAATAATATAAATGTTAGTCTAAAATATTGAGGTATAACAAAGGAAAATAACAAAAGAACTTACTCTTTGTGTTAAATAACTCTAATTTAGCGAAATCCAAAGTTGCTCACTACCGCCTCCGGAGCCTTCACTACAAACGAAGATTGGCGTGTCCGCCGCCGCGTTGTATCTCCGAGTCGGCTCAGGTCGTGCGGAGAGATTCGCGCTCCGCTCTGCGCCGCGGCAGGCGGAGGCAGTGGCCCGTGGCGGTGCTGCAACGCGCTCGGCGCGGCGCGGCGCGGCGCGACGAGACGAGACACCGGACACTTCGCGGTGCGCTGTGGTGGCGCAAACAGCGTTGACCAACGCGCTCGCTCGTTTGCTCGCTCGCGGTGACCACGGCCGCAGCCGCCGCCCCTTCACACGGCGCTGTCGTTGAGGATGGCCCACTGGCCTGAATGGCCAGGCTTCAGCACCTCCTCTGATGAGCGAGGAGGGGCGCTGTGGGATAGGATGGGAGGGTGCGGGAGTTTCCTGTCAATAACGCGCGCTAGGAAGTCACTGTTATGATTGAGTTCTTCTCCGCTGTGTGGAATTGGCTGCGGTGAAAACGCCGAATAATGGCGGAAACGATACAAAACGCCAAATAACGAAAGTTTTCTTAGAAATTAAGTAATGAAAGAATCGTAACGTGAATTATTCTTGAAGAATTGTAAGAGTTCTTGTTTTGCCTTGTGGACATTACTTACTAAGAATGGATTTCTGTGTAAAAAGGAAAAATGGACAGGAAAATAATTAAATGTTTCAACAATTTTTTTAAAATATTCTGAATTTTACGAAAGAGATGAGTATTGGAAGTTATTTACAGATTCTAACTTGGGTAAAGTTTACGTTATACTGCCGGAAACGGCTTCCTCGCGCACCATTTTACGTTACATAAATCATATTTGAAAAGTACTTCGAAACACTTTTTTATCGCTAGGAAATAGAAAAAGGTTATCTTGTAATTTTCATTCGAAATTAGGAAATAATTTCTTCTTTTCTTCAGTACTTCCGTTATTAACATATTGTACTGTATTTGAAATCCCCATATTGTATTGTATATAAACAACAGCTATTCATTAGCTTTTGTTGATGTTTTTATTCTGAAAGACATTTCCGCGCCATTTCCATTTTTTCGTTTTGCCAATTAGCTGAATAACCGTAAGAGAGAGAACATGCCGTGGACCTACTTTCGTTTTGTTTGTCTCCTTTCGTGACATTTGTTTCTTTGAGGTAGGGAAACGGAACCATTTGGGTTTTCGCTAATTGACTATGAAAAATTTACTTGGGAATCGGCCTTGATTGAAATGGAGAAATCGCTATTGGTTTCTGTGAAAAAGCTTAAAATGACTCAAGGTCCGAGAAACTGTACTATGCTTATTACGAAAAAGATTTACATATTTCATTGTCTACTTACATGGGAAATCTGTTTATAATGGAAAAAAGAAAGAGACTAGGAATTTTCTCTGACACATCGTGTTGAAATCTCCATTACGTTGTAGTTTCACACAGTTGGTGCGTTCTTGGCATATAAAATTATCGTGAATATTGGACGTAAGATGTTTCGGCAACCTATATTTATCATTTTTATCATGGATCTTTACATGAAGATCATTTACCACCTTCATGAAAATTGAGATTTCGTCATGTCTCTATGAGCGTAATTTAAAAATTTGAAATTTTGCCAAGATGTTATTTATCTCGGAAGAACTTGATCATTAAAAGATATACTTCAAGGTCCTTCTTTGTATTAATTGCAATGGAAAGAAACAGAACGTGATAAATTGTTATGACGTGGGCTTTTGCTGGCAGCTTAGAATGAAACTGCGTGCATTTTTATGAAGATGAAACCTTAGACTGGGAGGAAATGCATAAATCTGCTCGTAGTTGGAAACTAATCTTTCGGTGTAGAAGCTGGACATAACTTGGAGATAGACGCAACTCCAAATTACGACAAGATCCGTATGAAGGTCTAAAATGTAGATTTGGGACTTTCTATAGATAATAATTTGATAACATCTTTTGATGTACTGCACAAGCCTTAGCCAACGTTATTTGCACTTACCTCTATCACAAAAATAGCAGTAAACAGCAAGTGATTTTACCAATGGCAATATTTGTCAGGCAGTCGAATGGCTTTTTAGAACACCTTTTTGTACAGTACATGTTAATTTACGAGATGTGATATACATTTTTTTACAATAAGTTCTTGAAAAGAACGTGAACTGAAGATTGTCGAAATATGTCGGACCGTAATGAACACGAAGAGGGGAAAATTTCAAAATCGATGAGCAACTATGAATCTCAATTAAACATCCCTGTAATAACTTTTATTGTTTTATTGCACATGGTTTGAGTGTTGTTTTTTGTTGACATTGCAGCTTCTGTCCCAGGCAACAAAATATCTCCCTTGACTTCAAAAATCGCAAGCGCATCGGGCGTTCCCACGTTTCTCCCAGCCCTGTTGCATGTGCTGCCTTGGAACAACACACAGCACGTGTGCCCACTACGTGCCGTCTACTTAGCGTGGTGACGCCAATGCTAGACGGCAGGTGCGCAAACGAAAGGCTCTACGAAATCGCGCTTTATCTGCACACAAAACGAAGTAGTAGTAGTCACGAAATGCGTTTTTGGTTTTCCCTGACATTTATTTCATAACTAAATATTCGTCCTTAAGCGATGTAGAATCATTTGCAGAAATTGTAAACAGCTGAGTGTTTTGAAGCCACAACAGCGTAATGTGCCCCTTCGCTTGAATGAAGTCGAGACAAGTAATACTTATGTCGATGGAACCTGGGAAAATTATTTTTGCGAATCATTCTGGCGAGAAAATACAAACATCTTTGTTTGTGTAAAATACAGCAGAGATAGACATTATTGCAGCATAATATAGTAAATACATTCAAGAGGGTTTCTTAAACATGCGGTGGAAAACTAAAGATATCTCATCCTTTATTCCTCGGAAATAAACAACGTAAAAGCACAGAATTTCGTCAGAGTAGTGCAGGTTACAAGTGCTCAAAAACCTAATACCTTAAATATGCAATTAAACATATTCAATTCTCATAAAAGATTCAAAATGTTTATTTTGACATTTATTTTTTTTACATCATTTTTAAAAATTTAATGTCAATGAGTATTAAGTGCTTCAAAATCACACCGACAACATTGTCTTAAAGACCTTGCGGCAAGATTTTCATTACATGTAAATATTCATGCTAGTGCTTAAAAGGTATATTTGATTAACTACAAAGATTCGAGTGATAACAACGAACACTAGCAATAGTTTTTATATTTCAAGTTCACTTTGCTCCTTGGCCGCGTTCTGAGGCGGTCGCCTGTGCGTGCGAGCGAAGTGTGTCGAGCGCATGAACGCGAGCTGTGGCGGACGTGCGCACGGACCACAGCCAGAGGCGCTGCGAGAGTGGGCGCGGCTGGGCACGGTCTGCAGAAGCGCCGACAAAACGCGCGACTTCCTTCAGCGAGGAGCTGGCACGAGCCTACGCCAGATCCAGAAGAACTCTGCCTCCAAACAAGCGCTCTTTGTGGCGGCTCTCGATTTAGTTGCCTGCTGTTTTCTTAGCGTATTATCAGATGGATGCGAAAAATCGTAAAATTGTGAAAGTTTGAATCCTTAACTGCGTCTTAACGATGCACTGCTACTTGCCAGCCAGTCAGCTAGCCTCCGAAATGTTCCAATATTGCAAGATGTTTATTTCAACATTTGAAGAAGTCTGCCAATTTTAATGTAACCTAACTAAATTTCGTCGTATCGTGGGCTCAAAGCTATAATAATAATAATAATAATAATAATAATAATAATAATAATAATAATAAATTAAAAATCAACATTGAATGTTTAATATCACATATTTGCGGTACCTAATTCTATGAATAGTTTTCCAACATGTCTTTCACTTGTGAAATAAGGCCCACAAAAAATAAAAGTAAAACTCTGTACAAAGATCGTAATATTGTAAATATTTCTTCTGCCGTTGAAAGCTGCGCATTGTTTAAGTTATTGTTACTCCCAAAGCATCATGAGGCCAATCACAAATATGAAATGCAGAAAATATTATTTAAAAATAATCAAATGTGACACACGTTGTTAAAAATAATTCATGTTTTGACCTAAATAAATGGCCTCTTTCGTGAGTTCATGTTCGTAAAACATTTAAAAAAACGTACACCCACAAGTAAATTAATTTTGAACCTTTTACAAAGATAAAAAGAAACATGGTACTCTAACCAACTTTTATCAGTTAACTCGTGTAGTTACATCGTAATTTAGCGTTTACATAATTTTTGCCGGAAACTGTTACGGTAATGTGTAGGTAAAGCGGCCACGCAATTTGTCGGTGTCCGTTGTTAGACAAGGGCGTCTGTGTCGGCGCCGAGAAGGCGTCGCGAAGGCGTCGCGGGCAGCGCCCCGGGTGCGCCTGGCGCCCGCCGTCCGGACGACGCCCCCGTCCCCGTCCCCGCCCATTCGTCGCCGCCGCCGCCCCCGGCGCAATCTCTGCCCCCTGCGGTAAAGACATCAAGGACCCCCTGACCGGTTACCCGCATCCTTGCCCCGCACGCCGCGCCGCTCTGTTTACATAACGTTGCAACGGCACAGTTCTGACTCGCTGCGCCGCCAGAGGGGACAGGAAAAGAAAGTGATTCCTATATGTTCGAGGTCTGATGTGAAGGCCATGACTGACGCGTGACACGGAGTTTTCGATCACATTTTATTCGTCACTCAGGAGGTTAGTCTTGTGCTTTATAAATGGCAACGAGAGGTCGACCATTACAGAACGTATTTACACTGGTTTCTGGGCAATTATAAATCGGCAATACTAATTTCCATTTCATGTAACAGCCTTTGATACTTTTTGCACCACCTGGATTTCCGCGTAACTCGCACTGCAGTTATCTGCCTAATATAGTTGCAAGGAATTTGGGTGTTTCCATCTATACTAAGATTACAGCATTTAGTATATTTAAATATCTTAAAACCTAGTTATTCTGCTTTCGAGAGAAAAATATAGTGAAATAATTATCACGAACACTTTCACTATGAATTGATTTAGACTACCTTTGATCATCTAAACTCTCTTTAACAAGTTACGTCAAAGAATAGAATGTAATATTCAAAGTACTTTACTCTAGAACGACAGAAGTACAAAATGCGTCAAAACAAAAATAAAAAAGTAGGGTTGTGAAAATGTCTACTAAAGACAATTATTAGAGGTAATTATTATGTTAGGAGAAGATTCACTGTATTACATTGTTGTAATGCAATCGTTCTCGCTACCATTTAATGGCGGGTCCGTTTAATTTGTCAGTTCTCCTTGGTTGCTGTAGTAATGTACGAGGCTAAATGTAACTTCCATTGCTTCATGCGTCAACAGTCATCAACAGTTTGATCTCCGCATGTGACACATGCGTGCTTAATTTCTCTACCTAACATTACCAACGTAAGGTTCGCAAGCAGTAAAATTGATGGTTGCAAATATATTAGCGATAAGTGTCGCATGGGTTCATTACATTGGTTACATGTGGGTTCAGCAAACAACCTACTACAGACAGAAATGAAGTTGAACTTCGACAGTTGTTAGCAATTATTACCAACTTTCTATCAAGAATTATTTATTGCTGTACCCTAAATATCGAACTCAGAGACGTCAAAGCCGAAGAATCGTGACATTTATTCATTAAATTAAACATTATATTTCTTATAACTTCTGACAGAACACCTTTTCCAGTTGTCCTAGTTATATTTATAGTGGCTGCGTTAGTCTTATTAATCGTGAAACGACCGAGCCAAACCTCTCTAAACATCGCGCGCGAGACTAATTTCTCTTGGAATGAATCATAAGTGGCGCGACGACGTTTCCACACGTGACACGTGGGTGATCGATTTTCTGTACACAATAATACCAAAATAACGTTTGCAGGTAGTATGGCTGCGTACTAGTAACATACGTTTTTTGTTCAATAATAATTCATCTGTTTTAGTAAGCGACATATGTATTGACCGAAGTGAAACTAGTTACATATCAAGCGGGTGATAAGAGTATCATCCCTTTGTCATATTGTCCGAGATTATTCTTGATATTTCTGAATTCCACGTATCGAACGCGAAGACTCCGTAGCCGATTAAGAATAAAGTTCATGGAAATAATAACATCGTAACTTTTGATGAACATGTTTTTATTTGATGGCTTATAGCTATTATGGTAAAAAGAGTTCTCTCCAAGGTGACTGTTATTGCTTGGATGTACAAACTCACGGCGGAGCTACACTTCTTTCAAGGCCGCGCGCAAAGCTAAATGCATGTAGCTCTAATTATATCTTGCACGGAGTGCAATCTACGCACATTTACATGAGTAATGAAGCGAAGGTTTTATTAATTTACAAAATTTTAGCGAAATAAGGCATGAATGAAGTGCGGTTGCAAAGCTATAAGTGATGATAATATAACACGTTTCCGTTACATACGGTTTTAACAAACCATACTCCTCACTTGTCCGATTTTAAAGACATTCCAGTGAAAACATCCTCTAAGTTTAACTCAATAAGTGCTCCGCCTCGGGCGCCGTCCGCGGCGGGGAGTGATTCATACCAACCCGGGTTTCCGCTATTCACTTCACCTGCTTGGTGGCCGACACGCAATGCCCATGTCGACGTCAAGGCCTAGCTTTCCGCGGACGGCGGGTGGCCAAGTTCACTGCGAAGGGAACGGCGACGAAGTGCGTGGCGATTGCGTGTGCAAAACCTGATTTGGAAAATGAGGCCCGCGGCGGCTCCGTTTGAGGTGAGTTGGCCGCCGCCGCCGCCGCCGCCGCCGCTGCGCTTTCTGCGGATGGGTGGCTTCCTTTTTCGCACGTGGCTGACGCTGCGAGAGCGGAAAGACACCGCTACGTCACAGGGAAGCCCTCCTGCGGAATTCTTGCGGTGATGGATTGGGCGCTTCACACATGAGCCGAAGTAGTGGTATTTGCTGTTAAAGTATGGGAATAGGGTGGGAACATTCCTGTAATCTATTGCTTATAATTCATGAAGTTGGGATTTGGAATATTGTTTTAACTATACATTCATATATCTGTATTAAAATATATTTAGTTTTCTATTCATAAATAATGCTGATGAATTTAATGCATTAATTAAATAACTAGCATATATAGTTCATTCTTCTAAGTACAAAGAATAAGATCAAATTTATACAATAGATCAAAGTTTTAGAGTATTTTATTTCAATTTAACTTGGAACTGGTTACTTTGTTCCTTACTGTTTATTTCTTTACTGCTTTGTGTTGTTTCTACTTCCGAAAAGAAATAGTTTCATATTCTTCAAAGGAGGAACGAACATCTACACATTCTCGGATTTTCGATCGTTAGCTACAGTTTTCGTGACCTGTGAAGGGATCTCTTCAACAGAATCTGTGGACTTGTTCGTTGGCCTCTGCAAAGGAAAAACTTGTCTGACCACACGCCTCCCGAAGCCTCAACGCCGAAGTTCTTGAGATGAGACGCCCACTAGGAAGAAACTGTAAAGCGAAACGTGGCGGTTCCTCTGAGCCGGTTTTTGTAGTTCAACATCTGTGGAGAGAACCGGAATGAATTATTTCCTCGAAAGCTGTTTTGTTGTATCTCTTCTTGCACTTCACTGTAATTTTTCAAAGAGCGTGGGTTTTTTTTACTCAACTATCTTTTAATGACAAAATACTTCGTTCTTTTCATGCTTAATGGCGGTAATGTCCATTATTATTCTTTTCATTTTCTTTTCCCACTTGATGCATTATGCAAAAAATTCCCAAGTTATTTCTGTACGGACCCGTACAGAAATGCATACTTACATTATATATGTATGTATGTATGTATATAATGCAATGAATTATGTACATACATAACGTATGAGTCCGTGCATAAGCTATGTATGTATGTATGTATGTATGTATGTATGTACTTGGCACAACATCTCTTTACGAGCTAAGGACTACCAGTGCATAAGTTTAATAATTATTTTTATAAGTTGAAGAAAATGAAATAACGTAAATTAAGACATTCACGAGTAGGTCAAGTTTGACTATTTGTTCTGATGCGATATAATATTCATTCTGTGAAAGACGACAGTTCAAAGCAGTTGGAAGTTTTTGTAAATTAATCAGCCTGTTGATAAACAATTGTGTTTTTGAAGAAATAAATGTGTGCTATTCTTTCATCACTCATTACCCATAGTACATTCTTGTTAGTGGAAAACTGAGCTTATTTTACCACGAATTCTTTCATTTTACCTAACATTCACTAGCCCACTCTTTGTATAAATCGCATTGGAACAACAGTGCCGTGTATGCAAAATCGAAGAGAAATCCTCAAAAAGGACGCCGTAATAACTTCAGAGTGCAGGGTAAGATAATCGCATATTTCAATACTACTAACTTACCGCTAACTTTCTGTTAAACTCGGGTAGAATGGTTTTCGAATACAAAGACAATCAATGGAAACAAATGTCTTTTGACGAAATATCATTAAATCGCGGTGCTCCAATATTCTACTGCTCTGAAGTGTTAGCTCCTGCAGACATTATTGAGCCTCATTGTAAACAAGAGAAATTTTCAAGTCGTTTCTTGATGCGCTTGGCTAATCATGTATGCTATTATTGAATATTTGGTTTAATCAACCGCGATTTATTCTTAAATATTACTATATTATTTTCTCTTAAGTATTTAAAGAATAAGAATTGTTGTAATAATTCGAAACAGTTTCATTAACCTAGCCCTACAAAAATATTAAAATAACACAAATATCCACTAATAGAATTTGACAACTCAGTTTCTGAAAAAAATCCATACCGGACGCGTGCATCTCTTTTCTTAAAACAACGCGCTCCAGTGCCGACTGCCACTGGCGAAATAGCGGCAGGTGCGCGGTCGTTCCCCTGCCTGGCAACTTTCTGTGCGTGGCCCGGGGCGGGGAGGCGACCGCGACCCGAACAGCGAACCGGTCCGCCTTCTCGGTCGCACGTCACGGGAGTAAACCGCAATGTGGCCGTGGTCCAACTCTTTCGATCGGCGAAACGGAGAAACTATTGTCCCGCCTCTGGTTTTTTTTTATTGCCGGTGCTACCGGGTCATGCTGGAAGTCCATACTGAAGTGTTGCTGGGTGTCCATACGGAAGTGAAGTTTGCGGTATATACGTTTTGAAGACTTGGTTATAATTCCCGGAACTGACCACTTTACTGTAATGATGTACTGTAACGAAATGGTATTTCACTTCAGTTTCCGACTTGGGAGATTATATGCAAACGATCTTCGAATTAATATGAAATCGTGAATCGTAGAGAACTTTGAAATCCTTACCTTCCATGGTTTCTTTCCTAGTGCCATATACTGCTATACAAAAATCTATACATCTTGTAGTCAAAACAAAGCGAGACCATATCATCGAAACAGTGTTGTCTCTTAGGTAATAATGAACATCCTCATTATCAATCTGGTTTACCTTGCACTGATTCGATGACTATCAAACTTCTCAAATATTTTAAACTCCCAGATGGAAATTAATATAAACACCAACCTTGAATTCTTCGTAAATATTCCTTCCAATTAATTACGTTACAGTAATGATTACATAATTAAAACTAATCCGTATTACATAGGTTCTGTCTTCTTCTTAAGAATGTTCGTAGTTAAAATAAATTGTGTTATCTGTTACGCCATTGTT